TGATCTGGGTAGTGGAGGAAGGGGTGCATTGCCATGTACTCGATTTTTCTGAGATGCTTCTTTCAGGATAATTTGATTAAAATAAAGTAGTTTCGGTTCATACTTTCATCCAGCCCCACAACACGAACCATGGGAACACTGGCTCAATCCTTTACCATGCCTCGGTTATCCCAATTTAGAAGAATTCTGCCCAATTTCCAAAGCTAAAGGAGATGACAGGACTTGGCAGTAAGTTGCGGGGGGGGGGGGGGGCCAGGAAGTGGCCCGCCCTAGAAAAGAGGGTGGGAATGGAGGAATGGAGGCTTCAAAACCTCTGCCTCACACTTCAAGCGGACCTGATCCCAAAGGATATTCGAAGGCATCTTCCTCACCATTCCCCCTTATGCACTCAGCCCCAGCCCCGCTCTGGGGCTGAAGTACTCATTCCCACCCACCCTCTTAGTGCTGGAAGGACTAAAACAGCAGGACATTTTGTGTCTCTGAAAAAGCTCAGGTCAAATTTCAAGGACAAAAGTTAGCACTTGGTCTGGAAAAGAAAACTCTTGCCAAATGGAGTAAATTGGGGGTGGGGAGGGAGGGCCAGGGCTGGCATTCCAGGTGCCTTGGCTGCGGGCAAGAATTAGAGCTCTAATTCCCCCTGCTGGGATCTGTCTGCCAAGATATAGGCATCTCCACCCCACGATCCAGGAGAAGAAACTCAGACAACCCCCTCCATTTCCCTCTGTCCAAAAACAGAGGGAGTGGGCTTTGGTACTAGCTGGAGAGGGGGGATCCATCCGCCGCACCGCCCCATCCACCAGATTTGGCCTGAGCGGAAGAGGGTGGTGCAGTGGAGAGCTCTGCAGCCCAGAGACGTGGCCCTAACCGCTAAGAGAGGGACCGGTAGCCGGCCCGGTGTTGCCATGGCAACTTCCTCCTGTGCTGGATCGAAGCATCCTATGGGCAAATCAGAGCTGGCTGCTCCAGCTTCTCCGCCCTTCTCCCAGGCCAGGGAGAATTGGATGCTGAAACCTCTAGATCAGACTCAGGGACACCATCCTCAATTCCAGACCCTGATGGCAGCGACCCGCTTTTGGCATTAATTGGAAAGTGACGACACCCTTGCTCCCCAGCCATGCCCCAGTGTGTCGCGGCAGAGCTAGGACTACAGATGTGATGAAAAATAACTGTTAAGGAAGAACGGGGAAACAAGGAGTTGGACTGCTCCCACCCTCTTGTTCCACACACAAGTCCCCCAAATCCCCATCTTTAAACCACTGCCAAGAAAGAGGGCCCAACTCGGCCTTAATAGCCACAACAATGTAATAAAATTAGCTTATAGAAAGTATAAAAGCTAACATTTTGAGAATCCCACAGATTCTTTTTTTATAGTCATGCTCAGAAACAAGTCGTATTTGATAATTAGATAAACAGCTAACAGGTATGTGAGAGACTACCTGGTGCCAGATACTGTACTAAGTCCTTTGCAGGGCGCAAACAACATAATAAACAAAAGCATGGATGTTTCAGTCAGATTGCTCAAGTTCAAATCCTAACTCCCTCAGTTCCTGGCTGAGTGACCTTGAAAGAATACTCTCTGTGCCTCAGAGTTCTTATCTGGAAATGGGGATGTTAAGATGTTCATTTTTTATAGAGTTGCTATGAGGAAAGAATTAAAATAATATATTTAAAGCACATAGGAGGATGCCTACTGGAAGGTAAGGTAATCATTTTTAAAATGTGGACCCTATGTGGTCCATGCTATTATTTTCTTCCTCATCCGGATGAAAAAGCTGAGGTCATGTATCTAACTCCCCAAATACAAACTCAGTGCCACCAAGGCTGAGCAATGAAGATACCTACACAATAATGCCCCCAAGTCCGGGTCTCTCTAAAGCCCCAGCATCTTTGGAAAAGGGACAAAAGCAGCATAAGACATGAGTTCAGTGTGTACACAGAGGAAGATGCTCCTTGGGAGGCATACTAGGAATTTACAATGACCAGTACCCTGAGCCTCAGGGTGGCTAGAACAGGGTGGGGGAAAGGAGCAGCTTCCTATGCCCACAAAATGCCCAAGGCTCCCAAGCCCAATGCAGAAAAGTATTCTGGCCCAGTTAAGATTAATGAAATAGACCTCTCTCTGCACACAGTTTTTCAGGAAACCAGCTGAAGGGGCAGGTAAATCCTGCAGATGGATCTGGCTCTACCTGGGCGATGGACAAGATGCATTGCACAAAATTTGGAAGCAGCATCAAAGAGGGGGCACCTAGTTGAGCCAGAAGCCATCAGGGACACATCTCTGAGCCATAAGACTGCATGGCATCAATGGGCCAGGGGAGGGATCAGGGAAGTGTAAAGTGGAGCAAAGCCAGTTCTAGTAGCCCTCCTACTGAAGCAGTCTCTGTCCAGTATGTGACAGATTAGACCAACTGCTTTTAGAAATTAGTTCAGCACGGTGCTGTTCTAAAAGAATAAATCCAAAAGGCTTTTTTTAGGAGAAAATTAATGACTTTGAGAAGAACGAGAGAAATTAAGCGCCAAGACAACGTTTCCTACTTCCGATTCTTACCAGACACTCATTAGTCTCCCGGAAATGAAATTTCACTGTCTCCCTCCCCCTCCCAACCTCAAAGCATCCCTTAAGATGAGCAGACCATGAAAACGAGATGCCCAAACCAAACTCCTGGCTGTCAGCCATTCCCTAGGGACCCCTCACCTGGGAACCATTTTCTATACAGTGAGATTTGGCTTTTTAAAAAATTCTTTCGGACAGAAGGCTAGTAGTTTACTGGAAAGAGAACTGGAAACCTGATTGTAGTCTCAGCTCTGTGCCTGCCTCATTGGGTGACCTTGGGTTACACACACACACACACACACACACACTCACTCACTCACTCACCCACTTGAGGGCAAAAAAGGGTCAGACAGGATGATTTCTGGGTCTCTTCCAAGTACAAAACAAGAATTTGAAGAAACTTGCTGGAAAAAAAAACATCAGGTGGATCATTAAAAAAAAAAAATCTCTAATATTACATGAAGTTCCCTATTCTGACTTAAGTGAAATCAGAACAAGTTGCTTGCAACCAGCAATGATAACCAAGGCATCTGACCCACGACATGGAGCACCACTTGGGAGAAAAAACCTAACTGTCCCTGCCACTGTTCCTGCTCCTACAAACCCATGCTCCTGCTTCACCTGCCTCTTGAGACCTAAGTGGCCTGTTGAACTTCAGGAGAATCCCTGACCATTAGGCAAAGGGTGGAAGAGTTAGCTCACCTATGCTCATGGGGCTAGCTCTCCTAGTCCTCATGCTAACCTGATTTCCTCCAGTGGAGGCCACTGTGTTAGACAGCTTCTCTATTATTCTCACCTTGCTTTGTCCAGAGTAATGACCTCTCTCAGCTACATCGAGGGGGAAGCTCCTGATGCTCCGAGCCTCAGTTACTTTTTTCATAAAATGGTGATTCTGTAAAATGGCTCTGCAATATCTTTACCATCTTTACCCCACCCCTAGCTCTAGGTCTGCCAGGAGTCTGCCTCACATACCCCCATACATTCACTTGGCCAACAAATTCTTCCGGAGAACCTTTCCCCCACCTGCCTCCTGCTCCAGCAGGAAGACGTGAGCACCTATTACCCACTGCTCCATCCCATGTCTCACCAGATAACTTGGACACCAGATGAGGGTCAGGGAGTCTTCAGCAGGACCCATAAACCCCCTAAAACTACAGACAAAATTTTGAGGACGATTCATATGTGTATTTTTTGCAGAGAGAGTCCAGGTTTTCATCAGGCTCTCAAAAGTGTCCATGAACCCATTTTGCCCCTCCCCATCACATACACCCCTCTCCTTTTTTGTCCTCCCACTGAACTCCAATACTCTCAGATGTTCAGCTTCTGTTAGATCAGATTTTCAGAAAACGCTTTTAACTGCATCCTCTGAGACACTATCATCCCATTTTACAGATGAGGATTCGAGGCTAGGGGTGACGTGACTTGCCCAAGGTCACGGCTAATAAGTAGAGGAGCAAGACTGGAACCTGATTCTGACTCCCAATGTGGCACTCTTTGGAGAACTCTCACCCAAGCCCTCTAGCTACCCCACCTGTTGGTGATTCGCTTGCTCCCCGAAAAAACATATCTGGAGCCCTCATGTGCCCTCTGCCTGGTCCCAGGGCCCCAAAGAGCCGGTTTCCCCACATTTCCCCGCCCCTTGGGCTCCGGCGGAGGGAGGCTGCGCGCAGGCCCGGGAGCGCGAGGTTCGGGCCGCTGGCCGCTGGCCGGTGGCCGGGTTCAGCCCACCAGGAAGGGCTGCTCCAGGGACAGGAGCACCCAGGATCCGGGCACATTCCGGGGTCGGGGGGGGGGGGGTGCGCGCAGGTGAGGAGTTGGCGCCGCCCAACGCCTCCCTCCGGGACCAGCTGGGAGGGGAAGGGAGGAAAGGCCGCAGCCGGCCAGGGCCCCCGCGGGCCGCCCCAGTCTGACAGGAACGAGGCGTCCGGACCCCCAGCCTCTGGGGGAAGGGGAGGGAAGCCAAATGGGGACGCTCCAGGCCTTGGGCGCAGGGCGGGGGTCTTGGGCTGGGAGCCTCCGGATGCAGGCAAGACAAAGATGGGGAGGCAGGGGGCGCGTCGGAGCCCCAGGGGTGAGGCGGCCAAAGCCCCGGGGCTCCAGGTGTGGGCGCGACGAAGACTCGGAGAGGGTGGCGGGTCGGACCTAGGGACAAGACAGGGGGCACCCAGAGGCTCAGGTGAGTGAAGAGAGCTGGGCCGGACGACCCCAGGGGCCCACCTGCGGGCACGGGGAGCGTGCGGAGGAGCTGGGGTCCCCGCAGGCGGCCGGAGGCGCAGGCACCGCAAGCCCCAGACCCTGGGGCCCCCGGGTGGGGGCGTCCCGGGCGGCGCTGGCGACAGGCAGGAGAGGGCGGCCCCTCTCGGGGCGCACCGGGTCGGGGGGCCTCTTGCCCTGGCTCCCGGGACCCCCGCCCCACCCCGGGGTCGGGCACGGGCCGCGCGCTCACCCGCGTCCTCGTCGTCGAAGGAGTTCATGCACGGGAAGTAGATGGCGAGCGCCTCGAAGGAGGCGGACAGGCTGAGGCGGCTCTGCGAGCGCTCCATGCCCGCGCCGGCGCCCGGAGCCTCGGCCGCGGCGGCGGCGGCGGCGGCGGCGGCGGGCGGCTTGGGCAGCTTGGCCGCCCCATTCTTGACGCGGAGTACGGCGCGCGGCGTGGTGGCGGCGGCCCGGGCTAGGCCGGGGCTCCGCGGCGGGGCTGCGGGCGCGGCGGGGCCGGCGGGCGGCGGGCGGGCCGGGGCGGGCGGCGCGCGGAGCCCGAGGCGCGCTGTGCTCCCGGCGGCGGCGGCGGCGGCGGCGGCGGCGGCGGCGGCGGCGGCGGCGGCGGAGGTGGCGGCGCAGCGCTCTGGCCCGCGGCGCCCCCAGCCGGCCGCGCGGGGCGGGCTCGGAGCAGCCGCCGCAGCCAATCGGCGCCGCCCGGAGGAGGGGGCGCCGCGCGCGGGGGCGTGGGAGCCGCGAGGGCGCGGGTGGGGCCCCTCCTCGCCGCCCCCAGTCCAGCAGGTGTGTGCGCCCCGCGGGAGGAGCGGGCCGAGCGGGCTTGGGACCCGGGCCCCGGGCCTCCACCCCCGCCCCGCTCTGCCCCAACCCCGCACCCAGCCCCCAGGCTCGCCCCGGATGCGGGCGTCCAGCCACCGACCGAGACAGGCCTCACCCGGCGACAGGGTCAGGCTCAGAAGAGACCCGCTCTCAGAGCGACCTGCGCGCAGCACTCAGCCTCCCACACGGAGACCCTCAGATTCACGCATGAAGCCGCAGAGGAGCTCAAACAGGCTCCCACGCGAGTGCATTCACTCTGCGAGGGGCACACAGACGTCCTCAGACTCACACACACACCCGCAGAGATGCACCCACCAACTCGCTCACTCCTAGAGACATTTGCTGTATCAATCCACAGACACCCTCTGACAGTCTCCAAAGACCCACACAGGTAGATACACCTGTGGACACCCTCGGACTCACACAGGCCACCCAGAGGTAGATACACCCACGGACACACACTGAGTCACATAGAGACCTGCAGACACACTGAGAGTGAAAAGCAGGGACCCCCCCCCAACCTTGGCCACACAGGGAGCCCCTCAGATCCCACACAAACCCACTGAGAAGTTCAGACAGGCACACACACTCCCATGCACCCACACTACTCACAGTCATCTTAAAATTCACACACAGAGACACTCATGCCCTCTGATGACGCACTGTCTCAGACCTGCACAGAGACACTCAGTTGCCCCCCACCATTGACTCCCAGAGCACTGATTCACACATACACACAAATGCTAGCAAACCCTGGCCGATTCATGCACAGTTACCTTCAGACACAGACACAGAGAGTCATTCAAACACACTTCAGTGGACACACACATGCTCACACCCAGACACATAGAGCCTCATCACTCCCTGGGCATTGGGAGTGATGGATACACTGCCCAGACACCCTCACACACACACACACACACACACACACACACACACAGAGACAATTAACACACTCCAGGATCACACACTTGCACTGACAAAGCCCCAGATATGCCTCCAGGGACCCATAGTCTTCAGACTCACACGTGCATGGGTTCAGACACTCAGAGTCCCCAGGATGAACACAATCATGGTCAGAAACCCAAACTCCATTCCCTAACCCAGGACCTGAGGTTCCCATCCAGCCAAGCCCAGATGTCTAACCTCTGCCAGCTGCTCTCACACACTCTTTGCAAAGCGGCCTGGGGAGATGGCAAGAGCCCAGAGTTTCATTCCCAGCTGTGGCACTGTCCTTCTGTGTGGCCTAGGGTAAAACCCTTCACCTCCCTGACTTGTTCCCTCCTCTGTACAATAGAGAGACCCTCTATTTTGGATAGCTGTGAGGATTAAGTAAGATAATGTGTGCATTAGTTTTCTGTTGCTGCATAACAAACTAAGAGGCTTGCCAACATCCATGGATTAACGTACAGTCATATAGGTGAGAAATCTAAGCAGCTTTGACAGGGTTCTTCGCTTGAGGCCTCACAGCATATCAGCCAGATGAGGCTTTTGTCTGGAGCCTCTGGAAAAGAATCTGCTTCTAAGCTCATTTGGGTTGTTAGTAGTATACGGTTTCTTGTGGCTGTGGGACGAGGGCCCTATTTCCTTGCTGGCCTTTAGCTGGAGAGTTGCTCTTAGCTCCTAGAAACGGCTCTCGAGTTCTTGTTCATAGCCTCCTCTGTCTTCAAGGGCAGTATCAGGATGTCAAAAACAGAAGTCAGAGGCTACTGCTCCTCTGCCAAAAACCGCCCCATAGTCTCATTTCACTCGAAGGTAAAAGTCCAGGTCGGATGCAGTCTTAACTCCTTTGGCCCTGCTCCCTCTCTGCTGCCTCTTACCACATCCCTGGCTCACTCAGCTCCAGGCCCACTGTGCTGAGCTTGCTGTTTCCTCTGGATGAAACACTTTTCCTTCCAGAGAGCTGTGTGGCTCACTCTCACAGACCCATGCTCAAACATCACTTTCTTGGTAAAGTCTTCCCTCACCACCCTTTGTAAAGTGGCAACTTTATGACTACTTCCCCACCAAACTGACAGATGAAGAACGGAGGCTTTCAGAGGGAAAGTGATGCACTCAGGGGCACAGCGAATGGGGAATGCCAGTGCTCTGTCCCCTGCTCTACTGGCCTCCTAAGACCATGCAGAAGGAAGACAGGCCAGAGGGAGAGCAGCACTCAGAGGTCTAGACAAGAGACAGGACACCAAGGAGGCCAAGGAAAGACTGTCCTGGAGCTGGGGAAGGAGTCTCAGGGACCCATGAGGAATGTCTGATTGACCAGCAGTGAGACTCCCAGGAACCAGGCCTAAATGTTGAAAGTAGACATGTGTGCCGGTTAAGCATGCAAACCCTGCTTGGAGGTTCAGATTCTAGCTTTTCCACTAATTATCTGAGTTACTATGGTGGTTTTAAAGCATGTGTGTACATTCTTTGTTCTCCCATTGAAAAGTAGGGTCTATGTTACCTTCCCTTAAGTCTGGGTCAGCCTTAGTGCCTGGCTTTTCACCAAAATAATGCAGAAAAAGTGACATGCATAACTTCAGGAAGTTCCTGTGACTTCTTCCTGGTTCACTTAGCTTACGCACTCTGGGGGGATGCCAGCCTCCACACAAGGACCCGGACTACCCTGAACCTCACTTGCTGGAAAGGCCACAGTAGGCCTACCAGAGTCCCCAGACAACAGCCAGCATCAACTACCAGACATGCAACTGAGTGATCTTAGGTGTCTAACTTGGATACAGCCCCAACTGACATCTGATGGCAGGTGCATGAGAGACACACAAGCAGGGACTGCTCAGCTGAGCTCTTCCCAAATTCCGGCCCACAGAATAAACAGTGGCTGTTTTATACCACTAAGTTTGGGAATAATATTTTATGCCACAATGGAAGAGTGACCTTGAGCAAGCAAATTAACTTCTTCTGGGGCTGTTTCTTCAGTTGTAAAATGGGGACAATGCCTCCCAGTGTGAGTGTCATCATGGAGTGAGTTATAAATGTGGAGTTCTTAGAACAGTGCCCGAACACAGTACGTGCTCTGCAAGTGTGAGCTCCTACTACTCAGAACCGGACAGCCCCATCTGTCAGAGGCAGACGTCCAGAGCTGGGAGGAATCTGAAAGGTCATCCAACACCCCCCTCCTCTGGGACAGAGGGAAACTGAGGCCCCAAAAGTGCAAGGGACTGCCTAAAGCTGCATAGCACATTAGAGCAGAGCTGTTGCCATGACAGAAGCCTCCTGACCTGGGCCAGTACTCTTCCTGCTGTGCTCCAGGTTGCCTGCTCACCTGGCAAGAGAGGCAGGGGGTCCCTGGGGTGAATGCAGACAAAGCTGGCAGTGTAGAAGAGGAAAGGCAGCCAACGGAAACAGACTTGGCCTCTGGCCAGCAATATAGGCAGTGGACTCCTGGTGTGATTTCTCCTTTCTTGGTTAGCTCATGCCTAAAATTCCCCCAGTAGGGTTTGGGCCTGTAAGCTTAAATCTTTGATCCCTTGTAACTATATAATTTTCCCATGGGAAATCTGAGTCGTCCACTACTTGTACCTGCATGTGAATAATATGTTCTAAGAACAGGTTTGATGGTGGGGGATGCTCGAGATGGTGGGTGGGGGAAGTGATGAGTCCGGAATAGGGAACAGTGGGGGGTCAGGAACAAACTCAGAGGTGTGGGCTTCAGAGCCCAGGGAGATGGAGGATGCCAAGGGCCAGACAGCTCAGTAGAGTAGAGTCGAAGAAGAACTGCCTGCCTTGAGTTTGAGTGCCTATTCTTAGTTTAGCTGTGTGACCTTGGGCAAATGCCCTCAGGGTTCCCAACAAAAAAATGAGTATAATTCATATTCACTTTGCCAAGCCATGGTGAAGATGGGATGTAAATACAGTGCCTGGAAGATAGTGGGTACTTAATAGACACATTCATTGAGTAATTTGGAGTGCTCATCCAGTCTAGTCGCTGTACTCAGCCCTAAGCGCACAGAGATGAATAAAACAGACATGGTCCCCGAATTCATGGAGTTCACAGTCTGGCAACATACACAGATGATTATGCCAATGTAATTATTTAATTATAATATCATATGATAGTTTTATTGTAATAATTTTAATTACAAGTGTGATGAGTGTCATACAGGATATATATTTATGTGCTTTTTAGTGCATATATGTGCTTGTCTACACCTGCAGTGTATGAGAGGGTAGGGAGGATCTAATCCAGGCTGAGAGAATCTAGGAAGACTTCCCTGGGGAGGAGGCATTTAAGCTGAAAATGGCCCCTATATGTGTCCAGCACTGTTCTTGGCCCTGGGGATATGGAGATAGATAGATAGATAGATAGATAGATAGATAGATAGATAGATAGATAGAGTAAATAAAGTCACTGCCCTCACATTTGCATGTTAAAATGATCCTTGGGACTTCTCTGGAAGAAACAGATTAGAGTGAATTCAGAGTTGCCTTCCTCCTTCTCTTCACATAAGTCCTAATTTGAACCAAGAGACCACTGATGGTTTTTAAAATGGGAAGGGGGGATCCCTGGGTGGCGCAGCGGTTTGGTGCCTGCCTTTGGCCCAGGGCGCGATCTTGGAGACCCGGGATCGAATCCCACATCAGGCTCCCGGTGCATGGAGCCTGCTTCTCCCTCTGCCTGTGTCTCTGCCTGTGTCTCTGCCTGTGTCTCTGCCTCTCTCTCTCTCTCTCTCTCTCTC